AGACCAGGACTGCAGTCAACTACATGGGAGTCCACTGACGTAACCATTACATTATCTGTTGGTCCCTGCCATTTATTTTTTAATTAAAAAAAAATTGTCGTCAGGCACATGCACTTGCTGGAGCGAGACAGAGAGAAAGAGAGAGAGAGAGAGAGAAAGCACCCCCTATGGGAGATGGCCATGCTTTATTCTTTCTCCTCCATTCTCCTCTTGGGATTTTCGACATGCATACACACATATGTACCCAGTGTGTTTTTCAAACTGCCGGATCTGGATTCGAACTGTACTAGTCAACCATGTGGGATCCAGGTGCTTTAACCACCACACCATCGACTGGCCCAACTGCCATTTATGTTCTTTAAAGTTCTATTAGGGCAAAAAGAAATGTAAGACACTGTAAAAATATATACGACTCTGGGACCAGCAGTTAGCGTAATGGCTAAGTCGCTGAATTCTTAAAAAATAAAAAAAAGATATATAAGACTCAATGTACTATAAACAAGATTATGATAATAGTAAATTTGTAAAAAGTTCTATTAGGCTTTCAGATTTGTTCCCACAAAATTGGAGACTTCAGTAAGTACAAGCTACATCTCAATTATCATGATCATTCTTTTTAACTAACATGGAGAATCAGCTCAATGCACTGCACTTGTAATGCACACTGAGGCTACCGCATGGAACTGAAACACAGCTGCTACCCTCCTAGTGTTTAAACATGGAGATAACAATAGACGCGACACAGACAAACACGTAAATCATTATGACTATACCAAGTGTCATGGGAATATTCAGTAGGGATACTTAGAGGCATCTCATGTGCTACCTGACAGTTGGAAAGAGGTGACTAAGAAGGTGAGGAAAGTGCGGGAGAGTGATTTACAGTGAGGGTCAAGGAGAAGAAAGGAAGGAGCCCTGGGCTGTGGAAGGTATAGATTTTGTACAATGATTGGGAAACTAGTGAAGGGTATGTGTTTAGGATGGCTACTCCAGTTTCTGGGCAGAAAAAGTGGTAAGATGATGGAAAGAAGTGTTTAGTGGGCCAGCAGGTGGCATGGTGGTTAAGGTGCTGGACTCTCACATCGCCGACCACAGTTCGAGTCCTGGACCTGATGGCTTGCTTTCTCACTTTCCCTTTTCCTCTCTGTGCCTCTGTTGGGTCAAATTAAAAATAATAACAACAGGGGACCAGCAGGTGGCGTGGTGGCTAAGGTGCTGGACACTCCCACATGGCTGACCACAGTTCAAGTCCTGGACCTGGTGGCTTGCTTTCTCACTTTCCCTCTCTCTCTCTTTCTCTCTGGTCAAGTTAAAATAAATGAATAAATAAATAAAATAAAATAATAACAACAAATTCTTTAAAAGAAAATAACAACAACAAATAAAATAAATAATTCTTGGACCTGGCAGGTGGTGTCGTGGTTAAGGGCACTGAACTCCCACATGGCTGACAGTGGTTTGAGTTCCAAACTTGGCAGCTTTCTTTCTCTCTTTCTCTCTCTCTCTTTCTCTCTGTCTCTTTCTGGTCAAATTGAAATAAACAATTGAATAAATAAAGTTAAATGAAATAATTAAAAAAAATAATAACAAATGGAATTAAATAAATATTTACTTTTAAAAAATAAAAAGCCCCAAATTACATATTCTTTAAAAAATAATAAATAAAATTAAATAAATAATTCTAAAAAAAAAAAGACTGAAAAGGGCATCAATCCTCTGTCCCTTTATGAGACGTATTTATCTCTTAGTGCTCAGGAGGGACTTTCTTAAGGACCTGACAGTCATTGTTTTGGAAAGTCCTGATAAGAACAAGGCCTCTGACTCTCAGTTTCTGTGGGAGGGTAGGCTCCTGCCTTTCCTAATTGCCAGCTAGCAGAGTCAGCTGGCCTAATGACACTAACACTGATGAACCCTGTGTAATTGTACACTTGAGCTCTGCTCCCTCCCCATCCTACGCTTTTATTTTCCCTTTAACAGGGCCTAGTCACCTCCACACAAATCAAAATGGAATTCAACTTTCCCTTACTTTCTGTCAATAGATACTGAATAAAATCTGTTTTCATGCTTTAACTAATGTCTGGCTTTATCTTTGACAATAGGCTTTTCCTTGTGACCTGGGCTTCCTCACAGTGTGGTGTGTGGATACAAAATATGAATGAAGACAAAGAGAGAGAGAGAAAGTAAACATGTGTCAGCCAGGTGAAAGGTCTGTTGCATTTGATGGCTAAGCTTTAGAAGTCAAATAATAGCCTCAAAGAAATTTCAAAAGTCCTCCACCCCCACTCAATCCCCCATCCCACCCTACTCCCCACCCCTGGCCAGTTGTAGGGCAAGTTCTGGAAGAGCAAGTGAGACTACAAATGTTTTTCTGGCTCCTCTTTGAACACATAATCTGACACAAAAGTTTTTGAAAATATTGGTATTAATGAGCAAAAGATATTTTAATAAAATTCATATTTGATAGCTTTTTATCATCAACTTTACTTAAATTATAGTAATTATTTAAAGTACATTAAATTTTACTAAAATAATAAGTAGTATTTTACCTCAAGTAAAGTCCTAGTTTTTCCTCTTAGTTGCTAAAAGAAAAACTTTAGACAAATTAGACAGTTTATTTGAGTAAAGAACAATTTGTGAATTGGCTACACTCAACCACAAGAGTTTTAGTGGACTCTATTCTGCCCCAAGAGCAGCTTATATCCCTAACATGCACCCGGAGTGAATTTAAGCCACTGGATCTAGGACTCGAACCACGATTGACTATGTGGGAGCCCAGAAATATAGCCATTACATCAACTGCTGGTCCCTCCAAAAACAAGAATGATAAATCATATGCATTGGACTTCTGTTCTTGCCCTATAGTCAGTCACCTTGAGACTCACACTTAGAAAGTAAATCCAACTATAAAAGAATTGCTAATTACAGTATATGAATTTTACTGGGTTTCATGGAGATGATTTCATTGCCACAAGATTGTTTTTGAGATGTCTTGTAATTTGCCCCTACGTGCTTTTTTTTCTATCTCCAGGTCTCTGTCTCCTCTCTCCCCTCCTGCAGTTATTATTTCCATATGACCCTGGTTTTAGTACAGCCTTTCTTTTTCTCAGATTACACACTACACTGAGCAAAACAAAAAGAGCAAAATAGCACTGTCTGGGCCAGCAGGAGGTGTGGTGGTTAAGGCACCGGACTCCCATATGACTGATTGACGTTTGCATCCAGGACCTGGAGGCATGTTTTTTCACTTTCTCTCTCTTTCTGCCTCTGGTAAGTGCATGTGCCCTGTAGCAAATTAAAATAATAATAATGAAGCCCAGTAGGTGGTATAGTGGTTTGGGCACTGGACTTCCACATGGCTGACTGTGGTTTGAGTCACAGACCTGGTGGCTTGCTTTTTCACTTTTTCTCTCTCTCTCTGGTCAATTGAAAAATACAATTAAATAGAATAATTCTTTTTAAAAATAATTCTTTTTAAAAACTGTGGTTTGAGTCACAGACCTGGTGGCTCACTTTTTCACCTTCTCTCTCTCTCTCTCTGGTCAAATTGAAAAATAATAATTAATACAATTAAATAGAATAATTCTTTTTAAAAGTAATAATGATAAATAAAATTAAATTAATTATTTAACTTTATTAATATTATTTTTTAATATTTCCAAAGAGAGAGAGAGAAAGCCAGCCTCTAGGTCTGGGACTCAAACACCGTCGCTCATGTGGGAGTCCTTAACCACCACCCCCTTAACTACCATGTTGCCAGCTGGCCCCAAATAAATAATTCTTCAAAAAGATAGTAATGCCTTATGGCCCCTCAATCATGGGCATGACTTACACTATATCTACTTGAAAATTTAAGAAAAGACTGGGGCTGGCCCATACCACAGGGGGCCAGATTTCACATGGCCAACCTCAGTGTGTGTTTGCAGAAAATCCTGATGGGAGGGAGATGTGAAAGGATGGAGGAGAAAGGACGGCAGTATGACCATGCCCCATTAAAGGGTGCTTTCTTTTTCTCTGGCTAGCTCATGAACTTAAAAAAAATAAAAGAGAGAGAGAGAGAAGAAATCAAGAGGATTGGCAATTTCAAAATGCTAAAATGAAAAAACAGAGAAAAAAGAGGATTGGAAATAAAGTGATTTAAGTGTGCTAAAGTTATGAAATGAGAAAAAAAGAAAAATTAATATGAAAAAGAGGTATAAACTTAACAGGATGGTTGAGACTAGCACAACTATGTCAAAGTGAAAGTAAACTCACTCTATGGAATAACAGATTTACTGCTTTAAAAAAAAAAAATCCAAGGCCAGCCAGTTGGCTGGTGGTTAAGGCACTGGATTTCACATGGCTGACTGCACTGTTCGAATCTGGGACCGGAGGCTGGGCAAATGTGCTGGCGACATGCGTACCCACAATCCTGAGAAGAAGGAGAAGGGATTGTGGTGTACCTACAATCTGGAGGAGAAGAAGGAGAAGGGATTGTGGCATAGCTATCACCCCATTCTCACTTTCTCTATGTCTCTGTCTCTCTATCTCTCTCCTATGAGTTGCACAGGTCCTATAGCAAAAAAAAAAAAAAAAAAAAAAAAAAACCCAAAAATAAAAAAAAAAAAAAAAAAAAAAAAATCCAAAAATTAATGGAAAGGTTTACATAACATTAAAATACAGGAAAGAACTAGAAATTAGAAGAAGCAAAGAAATTGGGAAATGTAAGCTTGGACAAAGACCACTTCTGAATTGTCTTAATTTTGTAGATACGGACATCCAGGAGATGAGAGAGAGAGAGAGAGAGAGAGAGAGAGAACAGTCAGGTCCAGGACTGGAGCCTAGGTCCATCATGTGGAAGTCCAGTGCCTTGACCACCACGCCACCTGCTGGTCCCTTGGACTTCGTCTCTTCAGTGCAGCCCTGCTGAATGATCTCACGATGGGCAAGTACTTAAAATGTGATGAAGATATTTTTATTTCAGCCTTGGGCGCTGTTTTATTTGTTCATGTGATTTTTGGCCCCGGTGGGCCCCCGGCCTGGACTACATTTCCCAGCATGCCATGCTCAGAACTACGGGTGCTCGCATGACGTCCAGCGCCGTTGGCGGCGGCGCAGTCGCGGTGCGTACGACAGACGACAGACCCGCGGGTGCTTCGCGGTTTGAATGGCCACGGGCCCGGGCCCTCAGCTCATCGGAGGAGCCGCTGCCCAGGGGGGAGCTATGCCGTCGGGAGGCGACCAGAAAAAACCCCCCGGGGGCTGCAGCCTCGGATGGGGAGGACGACGACGGCGAGGCGGAGGACGTCGCGCAGCCGGTCGGGTCGCCGACTCCTAAGATCCAGCAGAGGTTCGACGAGCTGTGCAGCCGCCTCAACATGGACGAGGCGGCGCGGGCCGAGGCGTGGGACAGCTACCGGAGCATGAACGAGAGCTACACGCTGGAGGTGCGCTCGGGGAGCACACCCGGGACTTCCCGGGCCTAGTCGGCGTGCGGGTCGCGGGGCGGGGTACCCCCTCACCCGGGCCGGGCGCTCGGCAGGGATGCTCCGGCTGACCCCGGGTCCGAGCCAGGTGGAAACCTCTGCAGGCACCGTAATCCCGGAAACCCGGCGTCTAAATGGCTCTTAGCTGCTGTCGGAGTAAGCCGGGTCTCGCTGCACTTCCCGGGGCTCGGAACGGGAAGTATCTGTCTCTGAAGTAGCACAGCCAGGGGTCGGGGCTGTGAAGCCCTCACACGTCGGCGGCGGAACCAGCAGGTGTCGGTGTCCAGCCCGCACCCTGGTCCGCACGGCTGTAACGGGATGTCAGCGCCTGGGCCTCTGCGCTTCTCATTCGGTTCTCTCCCCCGATCCCCCGATCCAGATTGCCTTTGCTCCGGCATCGCGCCCGCTGGAGTTAACGCGTTACGTTTCGGGCGGAGTTTGTGTGTGTGTAAACAGATAAGGACTAACGTTCCTGCGGCCGAAGGGAATAGACTGCCTACCCGGATATAGACACCCGCTCCCATTGGTCCCTAGGAATCAGGGCCGCGACTCCCTGGAGGACCTTTTGATCACTCCAGACATTGCCCAGGACTCCTGGTCGCCGTATTCTAAGCATGTTATGTTTATTTCTCTCTCTTCGGACTAGACTTGCCCCTGAGAAAAATGGCCATTCTAGCCAGTGACTGTCAACTCTGTAGGCACCTCCCCTTCGCGGGCCAATGGGAAGTGACACGGAAGTCCGGATTGTTTGTCGGCGGTTTGCTGTGTGTCGGGGCATTTAAACTTGGGGCCATTTGATTTGTCTCAAGGAGTTTTCTAGCTAGTGTGTGAAAGAGTGGGTCACATAGGCTCAGGATGTGAAACCTCACCAAGGTTTTAACTGTTACCTAGTATTTTTAGGTGTTTTC